GGTCAGCACGACATTCTTTTTGCCAGAAGTCTAAAGGTACTGGTGAGTACTGTATATATAGCAGATAATACATGTAAATGACCTGGTTCAGAGAAGCCAGTATGCCTGTAACTACTGACAGAATGGACCTTTCAAAATAGACTTCATTAGCATAGTTGGTGAACTCAGTCTTTAAGATTTTCAAAGAACAATCCAGCGGGTTCTTTATCTCCTGTTAGTATCACATCAAACATTTTTAAAAAGGTATGTCAAAGGTAGCACTGAATCAAAAAGAGGTACCATTATACTTGATGTCAGTTGAATAGCACAGAATACAGCCTGGGGTTAAATACAGATTAAAGAAAAAAATTCTAAAAATGAACAGCTTTAGAGAACATTTCCCAATGCTGCTATTTTTCCTCTCACTTGAAGTAAATGACAGTGCTTTCAAAGTACTCACCAGTTCTCTGCTGGAGTTTACAGAGTAAGATTGGCCCCCAAAGACCTCTTACTTATTGATGTGGGGTGTTTTTTTTGGGGGGGGGGTTTTAGGGTGAGGGAGCCCATTGGACAGCAAAAATGGCGTCAAACATAACAACTTAGCGATGGAGCAGGACCAGACATTGTTCTGGTCCATTGTACAGGGTCACTCTGAGTCAGAACTGACTCAAGGACACTTAACAACCACAGGGTAAGGGAGGAAGAATTTAGTGACTTTATGTATATCACAGGAACTGTCCAACAATGTACTTTGAAATCAGAATCACTTCCTATTCATTTTTATATAAATATCCCCATGCTCGTCATCATACACTAGTGATCAGAAGTGAGTGTAAGAACCCATTCCCTGCTCACAAGAGCTAAATAGGAACTTACTGTAAGTGGGAGGAAGTTTTGCCCTAACTTATGGATTGTGCTACAATGAACTGCTGTTGAATTTGATTAGCTGTGGTTGGATTGTGGTGTATGTGAAGGCTATTGAACGCAACTTCCAATGCTTAATAAAAATCTTTATTCTTAGAAAAAAATCTTTATCCTTTTAGTAAAATAAATAAATAAAGCACAGCAATGATAGTGGTTTTAAAATGTCTCATTTCAGTCCACCTCTATATGAACTTGGACTCACATTTGTCTTTCCTGGAAAACTTTACAATCCTTGTAGTTATTTATGAAAAAAACATATATGCATACATGTATTATGAGGAAGGCTTCAAAAAGTCCACGGAAAAAATATATTATCTTTTCATTCAATTTTTCCAGGGATTTTTTTGAAACCTCCTCATATATTTGTGTGCTTTGTGTGTATGTATATTGTGTGTATATTTATATTAAAATATGGTCATCTTATGTGCATTCATTTTTGGTCTCATTGATTTAGATTCCTGCCTAAACATTATTAGAGTTAAATTTTAAAAAGAAACAACACACATACCAAAAATAAAATTAATACTTTTTCATCCAAGATGTAGAAAGAAATAATTTGTCTAAAGAAATTCTTTTAAAAAAAAGAACTTTTAACAATTATCAGTATGTTAAGTAGCTTGAATTAATTATATAAAAGCAAAATTTGTAAACATCAAGATAAAAATGAAAAGTGGGCAGAGCAAGGAAGTCCTGAGGGAGTACCAAAAATAGACTTTGGGGCCAGGGCGTGGCACCCCATCAGACTCCACTGGAAAATACTCCTAAAGGTCAACAAACAGACCTTGAACTATTTACAGGCTTTTCTTTTTTTGGTCATTGTTGGGTTTTTTTGTCATTGTTTTGTTTTCTTTTGTTACTTTGTTTTGCTCTGTCTTGTTTTTTTGTGCATATTATTATCTCTGAAGGCTATCTAATAAGATGGGCTGGATAAACAATCTGGAGGAGAAAACAACAGGACACATGTTTGGGTGGGGGGGACATGGGAGAAAGGGAAGTGGGGGAAAGGAATGTGGTGTTAACCAACCCAGGGACAAGAGAACAACAAATGATCCAAAATCAGTGGCAAGGAGGGTGTTAGAGCCCTGGTAGGGATTAATCAAGGACAATGTAACCAAGAGGAATTACTGAAACCCAAAGGAAGGCTGAACATGATAGTGAGACAAGAGGAAAGTAAAAGGAAATAGAGGAAAGAGCTAAGAGGCAAAGGGCATTTATAGAGGTCTAAATACAGGCATGTACATATGCAAATATATT